CTCCTCTCCTCTCCTCTCCTCTCCTCTCCTCTTCTCTCTCTCTCTCTCTCTCTCTCTCTCTCTCTCTCTCTCTCTCTCTCTTTTGAAATAGGGTCTCCCTATGTGGTCCTGGCTAGCCTGGAACTTTCTATGTAGACCAGACAGGCCTTGAATTCACAACGATTTCCCTGCTTCTGCCTCCTGAGCGTTGGGATTAAAGGCGTGGCTGGCTACACATGGCTCCTTATTTGTCTTTGCCTGCCCGCACCAGTGGGGTGAGAGGGTGACCAACTCTGGCTAAAGTCTAGCCAGGCTTCTGAACCCCCTACACCTAGTCATTGCCTCCCTTGTAAAGGCTAGTTCTAGTGAAAAGCCCCATTAAGTCGGGTTAGCAAGCTCCCTCTCCCATATTTGATCGCCTCAGTCATCCTCCACAGCCCTGGGGTGATGTCTGATCACCTGGCCTGTCTTAACAAGCGTCTCGTCTGATCTGTTTAGACACAGTCCCCCTACCCCGATTTTTCTCCTCTCTTAGTCATTCACCATTCCCCAACGCCCACCCCGCTGCCTCTTCAGACCCACTTACCCTCACTGCACACGCTACCAGTCTCTGCACCAGTAACTGTTATTCTGCACAAAGTCAGCCTTACATGCTTCAGCAGGTACTATTGAATAACAGCAACAATAAGAAATTATTATTACTATTATTATTATTATTATTGGTGTTGGGATCAAATCCAAGGCCCTGCATTGTGATTAAGTAATTTTTCTTTAAAAAAACAAAGTATTTAAACAAGGTGTTTTTCTCTTTCTAATCCACCCACCTCACATATTCATCATTTGTCAAAAACCTTGCTGAAACCAAAGCCGGCCATGGCCCCTTCACCCACGTAGTTCCCTTTCTCTGCCGTTGCTGTCGTGGGTTTGAATTCAGGGCATCCCATACGCTGAGCATCCCACCCCAACCCCCCATGCATACTGCAGAACCACACTTTTAGCCCTATGTCTTTTACAAACATTTCCCCTCGTCTTCAGATGGGAAGAACAAGGTTGCTGATGGCTGGGAGGGAGCAGAGCTGGCTGAGCCTGGCCTGTCCAGCACAGAAAGGGGCGCAGATAAAGGTTAGGTCTTCTCCGCGTAGACCGTCCCTCCTCTGTCTCTGTTCAGAGGGGAGGTCGAATGGTTGAGGGGGCACAGTTAGTGTTTGGAGTCCAGACACCTGAAGCTCTGGAACTTCCTTGGCTGTGATTCAGGTACCTGAGAATGTGGCTCCTCCCCAGCTCCATGGGAGCCACAACAGCCGGAAAGAACTGCAGTACTTTCCCAGCAGGTATTTGGAATTCCCAGAGTGGGAAATTCCCATGCCCAGAGGCCAAGGTAATTAGGTTTAGGCCCCTGTTTCCGGGGACAGGTGGGGGATGTTGGCTGGGTTTTGTTCCTTGGGGTCTTAAGGACTAGGGATGTAGACTGAGATCTGGACCCAGAGACCTTACCCCTCCGGAGAGAGGACATTAGGGGTTGGTTTCCCACCTCCAGAGAGAGACAGATACAGACTTAATTCCAAGGAAGAAATTGTATTTCTTTTCCAAGCAATCTTTATTTCTGGCACTGACCCGTAGGGCGATTACAGTCATGGCTCCCCTGGGGAGCAGAGGTTCAGTGATGTAGTGACAGCCTAGTCACCAAATCAGCATTATTAAGACAATTGGGTTAGATAAATATTCTGTTTTAAACATAAGCAAAAAGGAGGCGAGGAGGCCAGGAGGTCAGGTGGGAAGAGCTGAAAGTTCAGCTCTGTTTTCACAGAAAACAAGTCTGTCTCAAGACAGCTCCCAACACTGGGTCCTCCAGGACACCCTGGCCTTCCAAATAAATACATTCATCAGCAAATAAATAAATAATAAATAATAAATAAATAGTCATAAGTGCAATCATAAATAGAGGGGGTTGGTTCTGTGAAGAAGGCTGGGCGCTGAAGCGTCTGGAAACATCCGAAGACAGGAAGGCCTGAGATCTTCTCCAGCAGCATTCTGAGCCAGAGGTAGCCTGATCCCCTTTTGCAGAACTCAGGAATGGACATGTGAGGCTCCAGGGAATTCTGGAAGCCCGTTTGAATCCTTGATGGTGGTTCATGAGAACCCCACAGTCCGGGCCGCTATCCTTGCATCTTGTGTTTCTGAGTGTTATAGTTGTTGAACATTTTGAGCTCAGAGTCTGACCCTGAGCCATAATTCCCTTACTAAGTTAGAAGGAGATGGACTGGGGCTCTGAGGAGTAGACAATAAAGGGGTCAACGTGGGGGCTGGGTAGAGAATGGATGGCCTTCCATCTGCCTTACAGAGCAATGACTCCAAAGTAGACCTGCCCGGATTCTGCGAAGTCTAGGTATTTGGGCAGATTGACCTCAGCACTCAGTCGGTCTCCCTTCTCCAGCTGGAAGACCCCTCCCAAGTAGATGGGCTCGTACCAGGGCTTGAGCTCAGACCCCTCGGGGGTTTCCTTGGGGCAGGGGCTCTTGATGGCAGACAGGAGGTTGACTTTGTCCTCGTAAGAGACAGCAAAGCGGCTGACCGTGTGGGTGAGCAGCACATAGTTGGAGCAGCCTTGGCCCTTGAAGAGCACCTGGGAGTAGACGAGGTACAGCCCGTCTGCTGGTATCACCAGCTGGTTGTCTTTGAGATCCATGCCGTTGGCCAGGAGGGCATTGGCACGCCGGCTCAGCCACTCCAGCTGCTCATCCACTTGGTGGTTTGCTGAGGGAGGGAGAGTTGAGTCAGTGTGACCCTGTTAGTTCACACCCCACATCCTGAGCCTCAAGTTCTACCCACACTTCATTTCCGGTTCCTGCACCCTCTGTCTTCCCACATCCCATTGGCCTTAAGGTCCTGAGTACCCCACTGAGCCCTTGCTTTTGAATGCCTCCCTTTCACGCTTTCACAAGCTGTCTTCTCAGCCTGGTTCGACCCCCAAATCCCGTCCCTTCGTCCCCAAGACGCACACATAGAGCTCTTACCTACAACGTGGGCTACAGGCTTGTCACTCGAATTTTGAGAAGACGATCCTGAAGGGAAGAGAAGAAAGGCAGAGATGAGACCCTTAGGCCTCCCAGGCAGCATCTGTCTGTTTGGACCCCTATTCCCTTTCCTCCAAAACCAAAGCCGTACGTTCTCCCCGCTGCTTCCACCCCAGGTCTAACTGCCGCCACCCTACCTTAAGAGAGGCTGGGGGATACTTACTCAGTGTGAGGGTCTGGGCCATGGAGCCGATGATGGGCAGGTTGTTGGGGAACTTCTGTGTAGGAAGAGAAGGACAAGGTTAGCAGCCAGCAGCTGAGGAGTCACCCGCAAAGGAGAAGCCCCCAGCTCTTTCTCTTGGCTCCCGTGTCTGGGTTTTTTCAACGCTCATCCTCTGTTCATTCATTCGTCCCACCCTGCAGCATCTCTTCTGTCGTCTGTGCTAGATCTCACTTTATCTCCCCTCATCTCTCTCCTTATCACTCATGCCTCCTCATCTCTGCCATCGTTATCGCTGGCCTCTTCCCCATCCTTCTGGCCACATCCCGAATCTCTTTCCACATCTCTACATATGTACACATGTTTTTTCATTCATTCATTCATTCCTCCTCCACGCGTCCACTGAACAGTTTAGTGAACTGGTGCGTGGGTCAGAGGTCCCGTCTGTCTCGCTGTCTTTCTCTTGCCACGGTCTCCACATGGGCTGCCTCTCCATTGTCTCCACACTGCCTGTGCCCCTCAGCCCACCTCTCTCCTTCTCTTGCCCTTCTGCCCTGCTTCTTCCTGAGTGAGAATGAAGGCACTCACCTCTTCCCTTTGGGGGCCGATCACCCCAAAATTCAGCAGACAGAAGAGCGTGGTGGCCCCTGCCACGAGCAGGAAGGAGAAGAGGCTGAGGCACAGGCACCGACTGGAGTTCTGGGGGCCCCACGCCTTTTTGGGGAGTGCCTCCTCTGCCAGTTCTACGTCGCGGATCATGCTTTCTGTGCTCATGGTGTCCTTTCCGGAGGGAGCTGTGGAACCTTGGGCCGGTGTGTGAGAGGGACAGAACCTGCCTGGCTGGCTGCTTGCTTTTCTGGGAGCTATTTCCAGGGTGTTCTGGAGTCGCTGTTCTCCCTCCAGGCTGGTCCCCTGATGTCTTCGCTGAGAGAGCTTCTGCAGGCTGGGTGTGCAGACGGCTGCCTTTATAGCCAGCCCTTGGGCAAGAGGGCGGGGAAATGCTCTCATTCAACCAGCGGAAAACTTCCTTGGTGGAGAAAACCATGATCTCATGTGGAGGAAGCGGTAGTGGCCCTACACCTTCTGTCTCGGTTTCTTCTCCATCGCGGGGGCAGAGGTTTGGAAAGTTGGGGACACCCAGGCATCAAGGAATCTCCTCCCCCTCCCTACCAGAATTCTGTGGCAATCTTGGGCCAATCACTAACTGTGTGTGCAGGACCCTGGGAGCTGAAGCCCATTTCCTCTCTGTCCTCTGGTGCTAATAATTGTCGATTACTTTGCAGAGAGACCATGTCTCTGTCTTTTTCCCTTTGACTTCTAGATGGGGCTTCCATGGGGGTAGAAGCTGGCATTAGGGGTGCTTCTGACAGCTGGATGCACGGGGGGTGGGCGGAGTGGGCGAGGGGGAAGAAATGCTTATTGGAGAGGGAAGCCCTCTGTCTGGGTTCTGGGGAGGAAGTGGCTGAGGGCCCAGCAGCTTGAGAATGGGGAGTGTGCACGGGCTTTGGGAGGGCTGCTGGGAGTAGCGGGGACAAGTATGGGACAGCCCCGGAGGGAATGAACTCAGCCCTGGGAATTCACGGACCCCACGAGGCAAGTCTTCTCCTTTCATTCTGACCACGGGCTCCAGATGCTTTCAGTCTCGGCTTCCAAGGGATTGTTTTTTTCTTCATAAAGCCTCTGCCATACAGTCTTGATGTGTGGCCCTGTCTCCTCAGACATCCATGTTCCATGCCCCTGCCTCCGGGGTTTCTTTCAGCCTTTATGGCTCCACATCTTCCAATGATTCCCTTCCTCCACCCTCCCAGACCTGGACACCTTCCCACCCAGATCCCTCGTTCCTCCACCGTCTCCACACCCTTGGCTTAATCTCCCTGGTTTATCCTTTGGGTCTCCTCCAGCAGGGAGCTGCCTGGCTCCCATGAACCCACCATGTCTCTGGGAGCCGCCGGCTCCTTTATATCTCCTTGTTCTGCCCACAGCCCGTGGTCTATCTGAGGCCTCTGTCCCCTATTCCATTCCTTAAAGAGTCAAAGAAGATTCTCCCCCAATCCTGAATAGACAGACACAAGCAGACAGAACTTCAGAGAAAAGAGGTTTATTGGGTATCGTTGGTGCAGATGGCTCTTTGAGGGCGTCTAGTCAAGCAATGCCCTTCGAGCCTTGGTCTTCCTTCTGTGAGCGCCTTGGTCACTCACACCCGCTTCTCTCCTGATGCCACCTCACCCTGCGCCTGGGACCTCGATGTCACCTGGTGTCCACTCCTCTCCTCTTTCTTGTCTCCATAAATAAATAACTTAACCTTGCCCTTCATAAATAGTCTCCCTTTCGCTGTCCTCAGGCACCTCCCCACATCGGTCTCTCCTCATCCAGGTCTCTGCCCCACCCAGACCCACAGAGACCCTGCTCTAGGCAGGAACTTCTAGGCAGGCTTGAATCCTCAGCTGAACATCTGGGGGTGGCCCCCGGGGAAATGTGGTCCCCCTGGAGTGCCTCAGACTCCTTCTGTGAGAGCTCTGGGTGATTTTGGTGGGGAAGGCTTGAGACCGTGGGGACGGGCAGAGGAGAGGCGGTGTGACCCTTAAAACGGTCAGCATGGAGGCTTGGAATCCAATTCCTGGATTTTTCTAGATTCTACAGAGCAAAAGCTCCAAAGAATACGCTGCTGGGGCTGAAGTGTAGATGGGAGACGCCATCTGTGTGGGTGGACAGCTGGTCTCCCTTACTGAGCAGGAACACAGCCCCCTGGTACATTGAGCGTACCCACGGTCCTTGCAGCCCCGGATACACGGACTTCTGTGCACTGAGGAGAGGCACGTGGAAGGGGTACTGGGAGGAAAGCAGCTGGACCTCATGGGCCAGGTAGATGGGGGCAGGAGTGGCCTTGGGGGAGCAGCTTTCCCCAGAGAAGACCACCTGGGAGTAGACGAAGTAGAGGCCGCTGGCGGGGACCAGGAGGGAGTTGTTGTTCAAGGAGAAGCCATGTCGGAGGAAGGCACGGTCTGTGTTTGCTCTCCAGAGCAGGGAGTTCTGTTTGCTGGGGTGTCCTAGAAAAGGGCATAAGGTGTTGAGGGGTCAAGGTCAGAGGTCTCCATCCCTGAGGAATCGGGCACTGGACAACTGGGGTGGCTGGAGTGGGATGCCTGTCTTCAGGGGTAAGAGAAGTTGGTGTGGGGAGATGGGGTGATCACTTGGGCCCCTGGGCGAGAAGGAGGAGAGACGGGGACTGGACCTCTGGAGGCAGAAGTTTACCAACAAGGTGAGCAGCAGGTTTCAGGAAGCCACGGGTCGAATGCTTCTGAGGGGGCTGATGAGCTATCCTGGCAGCTGAGGAGCGAACACCAGAGAGTCCCTAGGGGAGAACAGAATTGAGAGGGTTCTCAGGCTCCGGGTTGGCTAGGCCACCCCAGCACCCCCATTGTCCTGCTGCCTCACCTGGGGCCCTAGAGGCAGGGCCAGCAGCAGCCCCAGAAGGAAGACAGGGGGGGCGCCAAGCACCCTCAAGAGGTAGAGCCGGCCAAGTGGTGTCATGGAGAGAACCTGCAGAGAGAGAGAGAGTGTGTGTCGGGGAGGCGGGGCACACAGCGGAAGACAGATCTTACCCCCAGCTGAGAGAGCCACCCTGAGAGACAGGACACAAGCAGGGAAACCCTGAAGTGAGCAGGGGTAGGAAGAGAAAGGAACAGACTGGAAGAGGAAAGACACACGGAAGAATCAGACAGGGTGGCAGGAGCAGAGAGAGCAACTGACAGACGGCCGAGTTAGACGCCACGGGAACAGACCAAAAAAAGGCAAAGCCGCGGGGACCAGGCTGGGGGGCCGGGCAGGCTGCAGAGGAAGGGCAGGGGTCCGAGTCAAGAGGCAGGATCTGGGGGATGCCCGTTACCAGGGTAAGCCCAAAGAGATGAGGCAGGAGAGGCTCACCTGCTGTGCGGGGTCCTGGGCGCCGGCGGCTTGGGTCCCTTTATAGAGGAAGCGGCAGTGTGGCAGGCAGCGGGCGGGTTCTAGGTCGGGGCTGGGGCCTGGGGAAGCCCCCAGGGCTTAGAAGATGCTACTGTTTCAGTCGAAGGCAGGAAAGGCTGAGGCCGCAGGCTGGGTGCTCAGACAACTGAGTTCTGGGAAAGGGAGTGGGGTCGGGGGAACTGTGGGCTGCAGGCACTATCGGGGAGCAGGGTCAGGCCCAGGAGTTCCAGGGAAGGGACAGGCGATTCGTGGAGAACGAGAGGGGCGCAGCTGGGCTGCGGCTGGAAGCCTGGTTCCCTGAAGAGGGGTGGTTTGTAACACGTCTGCACCCTTGACTGCTCACCGTCTTCTTTGAACATTTCCTTCTCCATCCTCCCTGGTCACATCTGGGGGACTCTGTAGCCACATGTGGCTAGTGACACCTTTGTTTTTTCAGGTGTGAACCCAGGGTCGCATGCATGCTAGACAGGCCTTCTGCTTGTGGACTGACCTCCACCCTTTTCCTCACTTGCCTGTGGGGGTTCAAGTCACTCAGGTTCCAGAGTATGGATTTTTGGTCCCTACCAGTTTCATGTCAAGCAGTTCCATTACAGAGTGCCCCCGCCCCGGGTCTGGGGCATCCTGGTATGTGACGATCCTAACGGCACCCCCTTAGTCTCTAGAGCAGTGGTTCTCAACCTGTGGGCCGCGACCCATTCAGCAAACCTCTAGCTTAAAAAAGATTTACAGTATGAGTCATAACAGCAGCAAAATTACAGTTATGAAGTAGCAACAAAAATAATCTTATGGTTGGGGGTCACCACATTAGGAAAGTTGAGAACCACTGCTCTAGAGTGCCCAGGTCTGGAAGATGATTTTGGGGAAGGTTCAAATAGAACCCACCACATTCATATAAATCTGCAGACCAGACTTATATAGCCCCAAATACACACCCCAGGCTTCCAAAGATCTGTACAGGGGGAGATTCAGAATCCCACACAGAAGGACAGCAGCCCAGGTAAAGTAAAGGTTGTTTAATTTACAAGTTAATAACCGTTAAAGGCCTTGTCTAGAAGCAGCATCTGAAGCCATTACTGTCTGAAGGGCCTGGGATGTAGCTCAGGTAGCTTGCTCACCAGGCGTGTGTGTCCATCCCACACTCCCAGAAGCAACATCGACTGTCTTTTTCTTCTTAAAACCCTTATTTGTTTGGAGGGCGGGAGAAATGGCTTAGCTGTTTAGAGCACTGGCTGTTTCCCCAGAGGACCTGGGTTCAACTCCCAGCACCCATATGTTGGTTTACTATGTCTGTAACTCCAGTTCTGGGGGATCTGACGCCCTCTTCTGGCCTTTGCAGGCACTACACTCAGGTGGTGCCGAGACAGGTGCAGGCAAAATCCCATACACAGCGTAACATTTAAAAACACGTTTGTTTGTTTTGTGTGTGTGCATGTGAGTGCATGCAAGTGCCACAGACCACATGTGGAGGTCAGAGCACAACTGTTTGGTTTTTTCCTACCATGCGGGGGCTGGGGACTGAACATGTCATCAGGTAAAGGCAGCAAACGCCACCCACTGAGCCATCTTGCTGGCCCACCGTTCTGTCCTTGTTAAGAAGATTTCTTCTCCTTCTTCTTCCTCTTCTCCTTCTCCTCCTCCTCCTTCTCCTTCTCCTCCTTCTTCTTCTCCATTATTATTATTATTTCTTATTTTTTTCAATTTTTTTTTTTTTGGTTTTGGTTTTTCGAGACAGGATATCTCTGTAGCTTTGGAGCCTGTCCTCGAACTCACAGAGATCCACCTGCCTCTGCCTCCTGAGTGATGGGATTACAGGCATGCGCCACCACCGCCCGGCCTCAAATTTATTCTTTAAAGAGTTATTTTATTATTATGATATATGTATATATGTACGCACACATATTAGACAAGGTCTCACTACATAGCCCTGGCTATCCTGGAACTTAATGTGTACATCAGGCTGGCCTTGAACTCACAGAAATTGCCTGCCTCTGCCTCCCGAGTGCTGGGATTAAAGGTGAGTGCCACTATGTGTAGTCTATCCAGTTTTCTTATACAATCCAGAACCCCCATCCAGAGGATGGTCTGGGCCCTCCTACCTCAGTTCACAGTCCCCCACAGGCATTCTCACAGCCGGTTCCCACTGGCCAGTCCCTCAGCCGAGACCCTTTTCAGGTGACTCCAGGCTGTGCTAAGTGGACAGGTAAAGCCAACTAGGACACTGGTGATGGCCATTAGGTTTGTTCCTGGTTTCCCTGAGGTGAAAACGTTGATTAGAAAACTCTTGTGCATAAGCCAGGTTTCACTCAGCTTATAAGTTGCTGCTTTCAAAAAGCAAAGTTTTGGAAGATGATGTTTTTGGTCATATTTTATAAGATTGGGACAGAGGACAGCAGCTGGCCACCTCTAATGTCCAGTCAGGGCTGTAGAGGGCTGCGGCTGGCAACGGTGGCAGTCAGGATGGTCACTGGGTACACTGCTGTTCTCAGGCCCAAATGACTGAGTGGGAAGATAAGCTGGTCCTGTCTCTCAGCTTCCTCATGGGCTCTCTGATTGGCAGCTCTTGCTCCTCAGAATTGGGCAGGACCCTGCAGAATGAGGCTTGTGACCTAGGACTAGAAATTTTCTTAATGACCAGTTCTTACACAGAAGAGTGGGGGAGGGCAGCGTTTCTAGGTCATGGAAAAAGGAGGATTCTCGTCTCTACGACCCATGTTGGTAAAGAGGAATTCCAGCTTTGATGGCTTGCTCTGGGGGAGGATGCGGGCAGGACAGAAGGCTGGACAGGCAGAGAGACCTGGTGCTGCTTCTCAGATCTCACACTCATTCTGAAGTTCCCAGCATGCTCAGGCTCCATCCTTTGGGGGCACGTGCTGTGAGCTCCCGTGGTTCTCATACGATCTCCTCAGCATCCTCTGCACTCCACACACTTGCTGTGCACCTGGCACAAGGAACTGGGGGGGGGGGAGGCGTTCCAACAGATGGTTCCCTGACTTCAGGGTCTCAAGTTCAGTGGAGTGTGATCATGCTTCACAACCTTGGCAGGGCAGCCCATAGGGAATCCATGGGACCCGGGGGCATTCATCACGGAGGCAAGGAAGGTGGGGAAGGGCACTCAAGATAGTGAGAGACCCCTCGTGGCCTGAGACGTGCAAAAGAATACTTGCAGGGAAGCAGAGAACACACCCTGAAGGGTTTGAAAGCAAGGAAAGATGTTTAAATCTCATTCTGATATGATAGAGAGACACCAGCAAATTTAAATAGGAGATCGACCCACTTACATTGTTATGTCATAAAATGGAGTCTGGCCGGGTGGTGGTGGCACATGCCTTTAATCCCAGCACTCGGGAGGCAGAGCCAGGCAGATCTCTGTGAGTTTGAGGCCAGCCTGGGCTACCAAGTGAGCTCCAGGAAAGGCACAAAGCTACGCAGAGAAACCCTGTCTCGAAAAACCAAAATAAATAAATAAATAAATAAATAAATAAATAAATAAATAAATAAAATAAATAAAATGGAGTCTGGCCGGGTGGTAGTGGTGCACGTCTTTAATCCCAGCACTTGGGAGGCAGAGCCAGGAGGATCTCTGTGAGTTTGAGGCCAACGTGGTCTATAAAGCTACACAGAGAAACCCTGTCTCAAAAAAAAAAAAAAAAAAAAAAAAAAAAAGAGTCTGGAAGCCAGGGAAGAATGGAGGGTCCTGAGGTCACCATGGAGACTAGTAGAGGGCATTTTACAATGACCGGGCTGGGAGATGACAGGAGTCTGCAGGTATGTAGAGGCAGCCCTCGGGAGAACGTGCTTCAAGGCAAAGTCTACAGTGCGGGTGGCTGCCCAGATATAATAGAGGAAGGAAACACATAAACACCTCCTCAGGCTTGGGGATGTGGTAGTGGGCAGAGGGCCTGCCTAGCGTGCAGAAAGCCTTGGGTTCCCTTCCGTCCCTAGCACCACATAAACTGGGTGCTGGGATGCACGCCTGTACTCCTCACAAGGGAAGTAAAGGCAGAAAGATCAGGGGCAGTTCAAGGTCAGACTTAGCTACATGGGTTACATGAGATGCTTTGTAAAACAACCAAACAAAACAAACAAAAACAAAAAAGCAACAACAAAAACCAGCCCCGGTGATTTCTCGTCTACATCGTTTTCTGTTCTTTTGAACATTGCGTTTTCTTGTCCTGGCAGTCCTGGCAGTCCTGGCAGTGTCCTGGCAGTGTCCTGGCAGTCCTGGCAGTGTCCTGGCAGAGTCCTGGCAGTCCTGGCAGTGTCCTGGCAGTGGGACCCACCGCCTTGATGCCAGGCAAGCACTCCTCTGCTGAGCCACTTTCTCTAGGGCCGAATTTTAGTCTTGTCATTGTTTGTGTTGTCTCTGGTTCCTGTTCTGTGTTCCTCTTTCCCTGGGAATCTTTGGGCTTCCTGTTGTTTCTGCCTCTTAAGTGGTAGTAGCTGATGGACTGAGACCCTGGCCAAAGCCGTATTAAAATGGAAAATTGCATTACAGCTAAGGGAGAGAGAGAGAGAGAGACAGAGACAAAGACAGAGAGACAGACAGAGACAGAGAGAGACAGAGACAG